TGTCTGTATGTATGGTGTGTGTGTCTGTCTGTCTGTCTGTGTCATGGTGTCTGTCTGTCTGTGTCATTGTGTGTGTGTGTCTGTCTGTGTCATAGTGTCTGTCTGTATGGTGTGTGTCTGTCTGTCCGTCATGGGGTGTGTATGTGTCTGTCTGTCCGTCACTGGGTGTGTGTGTCTGTCTGTCCGTCACGGGGTGTGTGTGTCTGTCTGTCCGTCACGGGGTGTGTGTGTCTGTCTGTCCGTCATGGGGTGTGTGTGTGTCTGTCTGTCATGGGGTGTGTGTGTGTGTCTGTCATGGGGTGTGTGTGTGTGTGTGTCTGTCCGTCATGGGGTGTGTGTGTGTATGTGTGTCTGTCCGTCATGGGGTGTGTGTGTCTGTCCATCATGGTGTGTGTGTCTGTGTCTGTCATGGGGTGTGTATCTGTCATGGTATATGTGTGTTTCTGTGTCTGTCATGGTGTAAATGTGTGTTTAAAAATAGTGTTTTTGCTCACCTTTTTTATGGTGTGTGTCTGTCTGTCCGTCATGGGGTGTGTATGTGTCTGTCTGTCCGTCATGGGGTGTGTGTGTGTCTGTCTGTCCGTCATGGGGTGTGTGTGTGTGTGTCTGTCCATCATGGGGTGTGTGTGTCTGTCTGTGTCTGTGTCTGTCATGTGGTGTGTATCTGTCATGGTATATGTGTGTTTCTGTGTCTGTCATGGTGTAAATGTGTGTTTAAAAATAGTGTTTTTGCTCACCTTTTTTTTTCCCCACGCAGCGTGCTGGTCTCCCCTCGACTGGCCCTGCCTCTATAGCTGAGATCATCAAGCTTGATGATCTCAGCCAATCCAATGCTTTGCCATAGGATTGGCTGCAAAACGCCACTCCAATCAGCATCTCCTCATAGAGATGCATTGAATCAATGTATCTCTATGGGGAACGTTCAGCACCTACAGAGTGTGGAGGCCCTGAATGTAGGTGCACTAACACAGGAAGCACCTCTAGTGACCGTCTGAGTGACTGTCACTAGCAGTGTCACTTTGAAGCAATGTAAACACTGCCTTTTCTCTGAAAAGTCAGTGTTTACGTTGAAAAGCCTGTAGGGACATGCTATAGACACCAGTACCACCACATTAAGCTGTGTGTGTGCGTCTGCTAGTGAGTGAGCTTGCTTGCATGCGTGTGCCTGCTAGTGAGTGAGCTTGTGTTTTTATGTCAATGAACTGATGTATATCAGTAAGATTGTTTGTCTATGAGGCTGTGTATCAATGAGCTTGTGTGTCATTGAGATGTCAGTGAAATTGTCTGTGTCTGCATGTGAGTATGCTTACTGTATAATTAAACATTTTACCCTGAAAGGACCAATATTTTATATTAGAAAAAGCAATATATATATATATATAGATATATATATATATTACTCAATCATCTGTCCTGGCAAGACATAGCCTTACATATTACACGCGACAATATATGGCGCAGTGACTTATGGGGCTGGCACAAATTTTTTTTCCAGGGCTGCTTTGTATCCCCAGTCCGGCTCTGGTTCTGTCTATGTCGATGTTACACCGTGCTGGACCTCAATAGTCCAGCACAGTGTTAGTCAGGCTTACATACACCCCAGTGGGAAAGGTAGTATTGGCAGAACGATGGCAGAAGATATGTTGGTCATGGCAAAGTTATTATAGAACGCGTTATTTAAAGCTGTGTAAGAAAAGGCCATCCAATGGAACGTTACATCAAACCTTGACGCAGTACATTATGTATCCTAACAGCAAAAACTGTTAGAAATTAGAATCTCTTGGCATGGAAAGGGCTGGTTTGAAGTAATATTGGAGGATGGCATGGACATGACATTCTGATAATGCAACCATTTTCAGTAATAATCGCAGTGAATCTGCTGTATTATTCTGGACTAGAGAGAATAGGAAGAGTGTGTCAATGTTTCTGGTGGTCTAGTTCAGGGGCAGAAGATACATTTTTTCAAGTATGTTAGTGCATGAAAGAAGGAAATTTGTGCCCCCTTTTCCTAATGAGCTAGAGTAGGTGGGCAGATGTTCCTTGAGCCTGTTGCTGGAAATTTGTGCCCTTTGTTACGAGGACTAGTCGATCCACTCCAATAGTTCCCTCCCAGGAAGATAAAGGTAGGAAATATGATAGTGGCATCATTCCAGATCTTGAAGTTGTTAAAGCTTTATGAAATACTCACAATGAATGTGTTGGAATTTCACAGAAATTCACAGAAATTCCAAAGCAGTCAGAAGAGATCATAAAAGTGTAAAAATAAAAAGTGGGTGTACATGCAAATGTTATCTTTTAAAATATCTTATTGAATCCAATTGTTCTAAAAAAATTGGATTAGCAGCTCAAACACTGAAGATATATCCTTCCTTCATTATCTAAACAATGGCTCAGCTTATCTATAATAGTGCTCATAAGACTACTTTGTCTGTATTTTTCCTAAACGTGACAAAAGGTGGAACTACTGTCATCATCCTCAAGTCTCACTAATGACGACTGTGAGGAAAAAGACAAACTTGCAGGTTCCTTCATAGACATCAGTGCCGTACTCTTGTGTACAAGTGTACAGCACTGATATGGCCAGGAGCTGACGAGGGTCCCCTGGATGAACATGGCTGTGGCTGTGAGGGACAGGTTCAGATAAGGATCTTATCTGCACCTCCTGGCCACTGCACCCCCCTGGCCACTGAGCACCAAGCAGGAAATTGTTGTGTGTTTTTTTTAACAATATGAAGGTGATAGACTAGCTTTAACATAGACATTCTAAAAGGAGAGAGAATCGAAGACAAAGCTTAGCCAAGGATGGGGTTACCAGGGAGACACGTAAATCAAAAACACTAGGGAAGGTCGAGAAAACAGAAGTCAGGAAACTTGATGTGACAAACGCTCCTTATCCTGGATGTTTGCCACAAAATCCTGGAGGAGTGTAGAAGTTGGCCTCCTGACCACCGACTATGGGCCATATACCTTATTTTCCCCTCTGTGCACAAATACATTTCCCCAGTTCGGTAATTACAAAACTACAGAACGCCTGCTTCTTCCACGACAAGCCAGGAGAGCGCTGTTCAGTAGGATTGTTCGCACAAACAAGGCGAACAATCGGTACCTATGAGCAAGGGGAACCTTTCGACAGTTTATTCGTATGGAACTCCCGAAAATGACTGACCGATCAAAACTTTATCCCGGTGGCGATTTGACCGTATTCGTCGGATTTGAGTGCTTTTTTGACAACTTGGGTGCTCAGATCCAGGCTATCCGGGGATAAAATATTTGTGGAGGTTCTAATTTGTATTATATATATTCTTAATGTTTTGTGTTTTATGTTTTGTAACTCTAGTTCCTGGAAGATAATTAGTTTAAGCAAAGTACACTAAATTATCTCCCAGACACAGAGACTCCTGTGTGTGTTGTGGGAGTGTAGTTGGCGTGTTGTGGGAGTGTCATGTGTGTGTTGTGGGAGTGTCGTGGGCGTGTTGTGTGAGTGTCATGGGCGTGTTGTGGGAGTGTCATGGGTATGTTGTGTGAGTGTTGTGGGAGTGCCATAGGTGTGTTATGGGAGTGTCATAGGTGTGTTGTGGGAGGGTCATAGGTGTGTTGTGGGAGTGTCATAAGCATGTTGTGGGAGTGTCATGGGCATGTTGTGGGAGTGTCATGGGCGTGTTGTGGGAGTGTCCTGAGTGTGTTGTGGGAGTGTCATGGGCGTGTTGTGGGAGTGACAACGGCGTGTTGTGGGAGTGTTGTCCTATGTTGCTGCTGGAGACCCTCTGCTGGCGGTCTGAGTATATAAGTGGACCATATGGCCATAATAAAATGAGTGTTCTTGTACCCTTCATCAAGTCTAGGCTGATGCTTGGGTAGCTCAGAGCTTTAATCACTGCCTCACTTGGGATTTGGGAGAACTACAGCGGATATACTCCGGCGGAGTATATGGGATCCGTTGCACCCGATTACTAGAACTAAAATTGCATTGTTAAGTACAAAAGACCACGAAAGGACCACTAGAGAAATGAGGACTGGGATGTGTATAGATGTAGGAGTATGACATCATCATTTTGCATAATTCTGCTTGTGCCATACGCGTCCGCTGTTACACAAATTAAGCCAAAGATCCAGAAGGTGCTACAGAGGGAGATACAATAGCATCAATAAAAGACGCAGAGTTACAGCCCTCCTATGTCATAACAGCTGGATGACCAACAGGATGACAGGCAAAGCCCACAGGTAACATGACATTTGTACAGATCTGTTATTACAGGCTCCCCAGAGGGCAGGATCCCAATATGTTGAAATCTATCAGTTTCATCATTCAATTTTCTGACCCTTAATTAATCATTTATGTGTGAGAGGAAGTGAGAATGTGCATATTCTATGAGTATCAATTCCAGAGTTAAATAATTACATTATAACTATCTGTGTCTGCTGACGTATATTTACATTAGAAGAGAGGAAACGACAAAAAGCTTGAAATTGTTCCTTGGGATTAAAAACACAGACCCTCAGCTCCTTCCTAACATCAGATTGACTAAATCTGGAAGACGGCCAGAGAAAGGCCATCTGGTTCTCTGGATCACGGACTCTGCTCTGACAAGGCTTCATGGTCAACGGCCCATAACTTAGGAAGGATCTGACTGAGGGGGTCAACTGGAAGTCAGGATAGCCTTAAACACATTATATATTATCCCTGCACTTCCATTTTTAATAATATGATTTACAGTTTGATCTACTGGGCTTTAAATGAGGAGTTGTTCTAGGGGACTTTGTCGTAATGGAGTACTCTCCAAACCCCCACCTCTCTGATGATTATCTTTTCAGGCCAAGTCTAACTTTTAGCTGAAATGGGAAAAAATAAGAATTCATGACAAGTTAGCTAACTAAAGGATTTTTTTTTAATTTACAATTGATTCTACTTTTTCATTTCCATTGCACGCTGACTGTCCTGGCACAGCTATGGCACGCCATGTAAATTAATGAGTATGTACAACACAATGGAAGGAATGTCCAAGCTTGCATGCACTCACACAGCATTCCTCTACAAATGGCATGCGCGCATGACTATACTAAAGCAACGAAAGGCAAAAATGTTGCCATGAACACAGAAGTGGTAGAGGTAAGTGTGTTTTTTGATTATTTCTGCTGCACTACTCAAGCCATTAAGAGCTATAATATCAGGGCTGGTTTTACATCCCCAACATCACTAGCCTGCCCCCTTTTACTCGCATATATAAAAACCCAGTTGTATGTTACGTACTTCATGATTTGGAGGAAAAGAGCCAGGATGTACAAATATAGAGGAAAAACCTAAGAGACCACTCTCATAGAGAGTGACCACTAGATTACCAGGATGTACATCTCTCCACCGCAAATAAAAAAATCCTATGTAATCACTACATAGCAAAATAAAAAAACCACATCAAAATATGTCAAAAGGGAAAAAAATGAACATTTGCAGTCAGGGTAGGTGCCCTGGTAGCCAGCTATTTGTAGGTACCTACCTACACAGCCCATCCTATGTGGTTTCTGACCAGCTCACATTAACACTTCATTACCCTGGAGTGTCGGGGGGGAAGTGAGGGGGGTGGTTGTATTAAGGTCGGACATGGCCATCGCGGGTTGCGGAGGGGAGAGACATTATTAAGTATTCCTCACTAATGGAGGTCATGCCTTGAGGGAATGCAGAGAAGTAAAAAAGCAAACGTGTAATGAACTAAAGAACAACATGGTTAACCCAGGGCTACCAGGATACTCTTCACCCATTGCCTGGCGCATTCCTGGCCGTGAATGGCACCACATTATCAATGTCCCATTGTGGGGATGAGGCAGGGGTGGCTGCTGGGTCTGGTTGGTCAGGGAGACCAAGTGCCTGTAAGGTGCTCCAGTGATATCTTCAAGTCTGTGCATCCCTCCTCTGCCCTCTCAAGTGGCGCACGTCGGTAGCGAATCCCGCTGCCTGGAAGCGGTGAGTGACTGGATGGAGTGATGCTCTCCATGTAAGAATAGCTCTGCTAAGGTCTCCATAGAAAGACAGATTTGAGCTTTCAAAGTCCAGTGGTGGTCTATCTCGGACGGCAGACATAACTGGCCGTTTATCAGCAAGAGCGCAAAATGATCACGTCTCTGTGGGGAGCTGTCGTGGGATCGCAGGAACAGCCTACTCGGTATATCCCTTCAAGGAGCATCAATTTCACCTGCTTAGGTGGCAGTGGAGAGGAGGGTAAGTGTTGGATGTACTGAGGCAGTTCTTTAGTGCCAATGTTGCTGCACCCCTCCCTGATCTTCATGTTTCACGGGCGCAGGGTATCTTCCAGACCTGCTACCCTGCGGGTGAGCGCTACATGTTGCTGTGTGAGCTTCTGGGTGAGTAGGGCATTGTCGCGTTGAGCCTGACGGACAGTCACGGATTTTTCTTCCACTGCTTTTATGCGACCGGAGAGGGTATGCATATCCTCCCGGATCAGGGCGCAATCAGCTTGGAACATTAAGCAGAGCTCTTTCAGGAGATGTTTCAGGTCGCCCTTGGTAGTCGGGCACTGTTTTCATCTACCTTTGTAGCTCTATTATTCGTTGTAGCAGACGTGGCACTGGCTTCTGGGATTGGGTCCGGAGCATCATACTCCAGATCACCAAAGGGGCAGAAAGGCGATGTTTGCGGCCTAGTGCAAAGCAGATCCCCGATATCACGGGATACCTCGCTCCTGTCAGGACTGGGACTTGCAGGTCTTTTTTCCCATGTTCTCCGGATGCGGTAGGTATCAACCAGGCTCTGTTTCGGGCACTCTGCGCATCATAAGATGGGCTCAAAACAGCTTATCTCCTGGAGCTCACAGGGAGTGCTACTTGGCATGATGGCTGCTAGCTCC